TGCAGACTAGAGCTTATGAGTGATTTTGAAGACAGCCAAAGAGGACTTTAGACGACAGAGTGAATTGTCGATGTAGTGTTGTAGCCATATATATTCTCCTTTGGAACCCAAGGAAGTGATGATAATAATATTAATATGTAATAATAACTTAATTCATAAACTGTTCAATTCTCAGTGCTATTGTTATTATTGTGGTTCTCACTTTGAACAGTTTCCGGGATTATTTCATTTGCCGATTTTAGTAATTTGATTTGTTTTTCTCTTTTCGTTTTCGCAATGAACAACACTATTCTGTCTAACTTGTCTCACCCTGTTACATAACGTTTTATTTGTCTGATAATATTAATTACTTTATATACATTCTATGAGAGATTGTATATACTAATTGCATAATCTACACTTTTTCATCACCCGATGTCTGGCTATGGTTGTAATCCAAAAAAACTGATGCTATTATTATTATTATAGTCATCTATTTAGGCTTTCTGGGAGGATATATTTTCCTATATATATAAAGGGGAGCTGTATATTTCACAACACTATTTAGACACGCGAATACGTATTCTCGGGAAATTCTCATGAGGCTTTACAATTACATAATGAAATAAAGCAGGCATAAAATGTACCCACACACAAAAAAACTTGAAGGATCTGGACTTCGCCGATTACGATATATGTCTGATTTCCCACAAACTGGAAGATATGCAAGTGAAAAGCAACAAGTTGGCAGAAGAAATATCAAAGATAGGTGGGACTTCAGGTGAACATAGAGAAAACAAAATTGATGAAGATTCCTGGCCAACACCAACAGTAACTACAACCACAGACAACAATCAGCATAAATGTGAGGAACCTGAAAGAAACAGCCTTTTTTACCTACCTGGGACACATCGTTTCAACTACAGGCGGAACTGACGAGGATATCAAAGCGGGGAGGATCGGGAAAGCAAGATAAGCTTTCATTACTCTCAAGTCTGCCTGGAGGTCAACAGCACTCAGCATGAAAAATAAGATCCGGATTTTCAACTCCAATGTGAAGTCAGTGCTACTATACGGATGGATCAGAGACTTAGTGCGCCACGAAGAGCACCTCAAACAAACTTCAGACCTTCATTAACAGTTGTCTTTGCTCAATACCCAAGATCAGATGGCCAGAAAGTATCAGCAACAGGGATCTCTGGCAATAAGCGAACCAACCAGGAACCGGTTGTGAAACAAATAAGAAGGAAGAAATGGAGGTGGATTGGCCATACTATGAGGAAACCATCAAGTGACATCACTAGAGAAGCCATTGCTCGAGTGGAACCCGGAAGGGAAGCGGTGAGTTGGTCGTCAGTGAGAGGGTGACTTGTAGGAGGTCATGTGAAGAGGAGATGAAAGCATGTGGGCAGACATGGAACCAAGTTAAAACGTTGGCAGAGAACCGAACGTAATGGAGACGTAATCGTCTGAAGCCCTATGTTCCTCTGGGAATTAAAGTAAATAATAATAACACATTTTAAATAATGTGTGGCAATAAAATCAAATAAAGTCAGCAAGAATTTAATTAGAATAGTAATAATAACGATAACCAGGATAACTATTATAGGTGAGGATTGAAGGCCATAGAAGGGAGAGGGATTGAACAAGCTTTTTCTGAACACAAATGTCTTGTAACGACTACCTCAGCACTGCTTAGTAATCGAAGGCGTACAAATCTGGCGAATTGAGGTGGCACATTACATAGAATTGTAAAGGCAGAATTTTTATCAATCTTATAATCTGTATCCACAAGGTGCGTCAACATTGAACTGCTGATTGACTTTACGACTCCTGTACCTACCTAACCACGTTAAACAATGCTCTAGAAGGCGACACTGGGCTTTCGAGTCGTTCTACCTTCCTTCTGGTTGTCTCCACTCAAGAACAGTTACATTTATGTGTGCCAGACTCGGTAGCTGATCCTTCATCTGTATTAGAATTTTACAACAAATGATGAATTTTTAACATAGTAGTGTGGCGACAAAAAATGTTCTAGCTATTATTTTTCTGAGTTTCGATTTCATTATATTTATCTACCGTGCTATTATAATATACTGGACAAGGTTTGCAGCTCAGGTGGGCGATTTTGATGTAGTTGTGTTGACTGTCTGAACTGGATGGTTTACTTGCGAAGCTTTCATTGCCTTAATGAATAGGTGTAACATCTTCAGCTCATACTTCAATGTGTTGAAGTAAGCTTCGAGATTTCTCCACTATTTCATAAGTCATCTCTCATGGTGACTTTCAACATCGTGATTGGTTGCTCTTGTCTGTCTTCACACCATCTAGTCTACTTGTATTCGTATTGACTGTTTCCTTGACCTGATATGTGACTTTTTGTGTGTATACGATTCTCCTCTTATGGATTGGTAATTTTGTTCTGTGTCAATGTTCCTGTTAACTGTTGATTCACTGGAATACCAGGCTTCCAGAAATTCTCTGACATTCTTGGTGTTTCCTCTTCCAAGTATTTGAACGTTGTCCCAGTCAAACTGATGTCCATCGTTGCCTGTATGCGGTGGTATGAGGGAGTTGATTTCGTGTCTTTTGACAGTTACTTTATGTTCATAGATGTGAAGACGAAGAGGAGGGGTGTCCAATCTCGTCAATGTAGTGTTTTTCGCAGTCGTTGCAATTTCTTTTGTTGGTGATGCTGGTTTCATCTTCTGTCGCTGTTGTGTCTTTTGGTTTGCACAGACCTGAGCGAGGTGATTCTATTGATTTATGTGTGACATCCGTTCCAAGAACACCTGAGGAGTTTTTGGAAGCCTGGTATTCCAGTGAATCAACAGTTAACAGGAACATTGACACAGAACAAAATTACCAATCCATAAGAGGAAAATCGTATACACACAAAAAGTCAGACTTCAAGCCAAGGAAATAATCAATACGAATACAAGTAGACTAGATGGTGTGAAGACAGAAGAGCAACCAATCACGATGTTGAAAGTCACCATGGGAGATGACTTATCAACTCGTGGAGAAATCTCAAAGTTTATTTCAACAAATTGAAGTATGCGTGGTGGAGATGTTACCTATTCATTAAGGCAATGAAAGCTTCGCAAGTAAACCATCCAGTTCAGACAGACAACACAACTACATCAAAGGAAACCTTTAGATAATGGTATAACTTTCTTTCTCTAATCTCTCTCTCCCTCTCGGCATTTAATAATATATATCATTATATATACATATATAACAACAGTTACTTTCACCCCTTTTTCGTATGAATTCTGTGTCATATAAAATATTCACCTGGTATAAATGGGAAAACTGTTTTCTAATGAGACAGATTGTCGTAAATACTTATTTCCCTAATGGACTTCAGAAACTTAGGGACTGACTTGTTACCCGGGGATAGTCTATGGTCCTCTTAGGCGAAGACGCTGATAAAATACAGAGTTTTCTGAACGTCTTGGGCAGCAGTCTTCGTACTTTTGGCATGCAATGTGCTCCTGTCAGATGTAAGATGATGCTACAGAACTGAAATACATCCACTCCTAGGTTAAAGATAAGCAGGGTTGAAATGGTTGGTGTAGCATGTTAACCACTTCACTTATTTGCACCACGCCTGATAGACTGATTGTTGACGAAATATCGGCAGGAGTACAAAAGACTCATATGGCATTTGCCAATTTACGCCATCTCTGATGTTGACGTGATATCCGGCTGACTGTTGACCAATAGGTGTGTGTGTGTGTACTGCTCAGCAGTACACTCTGTCCTCCTTTTTTGGCTGTGAGTGAGACATTGCCATTGAGATTGGAAGGCATAAAAATCCCGGCTAGCTGTCTTTGATCATAGGTGTCTGTGTTTTATTTCCTGTGTTCGGTGGTATGATATGATGATTAATGTTGGGATTAGGCTTCGAGTGTGCGGTAGGGAGGGAAAGTAAATCGATAAGGTTGTGAAGCTACACAAATTGAGATGGCTAGGACATGCGTTACGTATGCCCGCCTTGCCATCGCCATCCTCGACAAGAAATTTTAGCTGACATAGGATCTGATTGTAGAAGAGTTATTGGAAGTCAAACCGAAACCTGACATCAGTCGATGAAATCTTTAACAGTTAGTTTGGACTAGACACATAAGGAGGTGTAGACTGCTGTTTGGCTGCTACCGTCGATATTCTAAGAATCAATGCCTGGAGGCAGTTCATGACATGCATCAAGATGGCTAGGGCAGATGCATTCACTCCTTGTGATTTCTCACATTCATTAAACCTTAATATCTTTTCATATTACCATTTTTTTCTCTCCGTCAGTGCTGTGCTTATTGCAGTCCTTTTAAAATCCCTTCTTCTCCCTCTTCTCTCTACTATTGTGTGCTAAATGAAGCGTGGTAAGTTGGACTGCTACATTTCTATACAAGGTTTTATGTTGAAACTCACTCAGTCAGTTACATACACAGTTGAGTTACTTCACTTTTCTATCGAATCCCATTGGTGTAGTTATCTAGGATGATATTGATACGTTTTTCCCCATTAAATATCTCCAACTCAGAAAACAACGTTAATTTGAATATGTGCCAAAAGCCTTGTTTACTTTTGTGAATATTTACTCAACTCTTAGTCTCCATTGTTGAATCTAACATATTAACACGTTTAATTAAACATTCTGGTTGTTTATCCCTCCTTGTGTTTTGTTTTATATGTGGAACAAAGAGCTGCACCATTTGAAGCCTTTTATTGGAAGCGGTGTTTCTTTTTTTACAGGGTGGGGTTGCTAGCCTCATGCCCAACCTTTTTGCTCTTTTCCAGGCTTACTATCGGATAGGAAACTTAGCGAAGTTTATATGTGCGTTGATGGGGAATCTCACTCGGACTAATTGTGTGCCTGGCGAGCATATTCTATCAATGAGCCAGCGACACAGTTTTGGTTTATGCTCTATAGCAAATCTACTAGTGCTTTGTTTGTTTTCAAATGATTTTCTTTTGCATTTTAAGCTATCTCCACTCTCATTTTTCTCTCTTCTCTCCAGCTGGCTACAGCTTCTGGGTCAACTTTCGGTGCTATCCTCACGTTGTGCGCTAATGCAGCAGTAACAGGTAAGTATGAGTTTTACTGTTGTAGCAGTTAAATTATGTTGTCTAATCATTATGATGATTATTATTAGAACACAAATTTACCATATTATGAACACCAAGAGGTGAACTACACAGTCTAATTGTTTCTGCAAGGGACAGGATACTCAACAAATGCTCAAACCGGAGCCAATCTCCTTGAGCCTTTGACTCGAAGTCTAATTCACAAGCCAGTGGAGCAGTGTTGCGAGCTGCATCCCCATAGTCTCCGGTGACCGAAAAAAGTTCGTGTGTCATTCGGTCCCTTTTCGGATTCTGTAGCCTATGTATACCATGGGTAGAGAGTCAGGGTTCCCGAGTAACGCTACCCTTAGTAGACGTGGATGTCCACCAGTCTGCTTTTGTAATCATATTGCCAGATGTTTTCTTGTGTTGTTTAAAGTTTAAAATAATTTAGATACTATTATTTCCTAGATATACCAAATTTTCATCACTGAATAAAGTTAACTGGTTTACGGTTTAGTCAATAAATTGCCAAATTTTGAGTCCTTTCACACCTAATTCCTCAATCTGAGCAACTGGTAGGTCTCATCAAACCTCAAGCAACAAGGAAAGGCTCTTTCGGTATGTTGCTTCGGTGGTTCACCAGTTGAATACTCGCCAACCATGCATGTCGTCTAGGCTTCTATCCTCTGCCAACGCACTCCAAAACGGCACAAAGACAGTAGTAATGCCAGTAAAACGAGGGAAGGTTGGGCGTGAGGTTAGCAATTTCACCACGTAAAAAAATAAAAACCACTGCTACCGCAACCTTCAAATCTCGATTTATAAAGCCCTATGTTCCACTCGAAACTCAAAGGAGTACGAATTTCCACAACGTGGTGATTGAATGATCTACGGGTAACTGAATTCTTACAGTTATTCTTTAGTAGACAATCTTTCATTTTTACACCCTGTTGAGAAAAGAAAAGCCACATATCAGTTTCTCTTCAACTGTAAGACATAAATTTTAAACGGTAATATAGGAGTAGAATATAAAAGTTGTAGGTTACTGTCTAATTTTGAATTGCAAGTCAAAAATAGGTTAATATTTTTGTGTGTTTCTTTTAATCTCCTCTTTTCTACAGCCTCAGAAATCATATGAAATGAACGCTGTTGTAAGATTTCTCTCTTTATGAATTATCATCATGATTACTGTACAAAAAAGCTGTTTGAGATTTATTTTAGGCTTTTTGTATGTTTCTAGATCGTTTTCCTATTTCACTCTGTTTTTTTGAGTGCAGCTTTTTAGAATCTTATCTAACAACTTCATCCAGAGGTGGAGCAAAAGTTGAGCAAAGTTGTATTTTCTTCCAAACAGTTATATTATTACTATTCCCTTGGATTCCGAGTGGAGCATAGGACTCCAACAACACATCTTCGATTTGTTCTGTTTCCCGCTGTTCTCTTCAGCTGGATCTGCGATTGCCTATGATCTTTCATCTCATCACCAAACGACCTCCTCCATGTTGCCGTTGCACTAACGACCCACTCGTTGCTTCGCATTGGGATTCCAATCGAGCGACCGCCTCAATGTATCCCTGATCCATCTCCATTTTCTCTTGCGTATTTGTTGAGCAATCGGCTCTCGCCTGTTGATTTGTTTCCAGCTAGAGTTCCTTGTTACGAATTCTTTCTGACCAACTGGGTATTTGATCTTCAGCATGAAACCAGCCAACAAAAGTGGCAACTGTTGATAAAAGTCTGCAACAGGCTGTTAGAAATCCTTTTCGTGACATGCAGTGAAAGTTTTTCACCCGTATGAATAACTGACTGACTTCACATTTGTGCTGAAAATCCGAATCTTCTTTATGCTGGCTTAGCGAAGCAGAAGATTTCTAAACGGTTTGTAGGCTGATGAAGGCGTATCTGGCCTTTCCGATTCTGGCTGGCTAGTTCTGACATCTTCATCCGTTCCGCCGGCCTGTGATTGAGACGATGCTGGCTACCTAGATAAGTGAATGAAGTAACCTCTTTGAAATCTCTCCCTTTGATGGAGATTGGTACTAGTTGTTGTTGGTGTTGCTGTTGGTTGGGTATCTTCATCACCTCCGTCTTTATGTTCGCGTGAAGTCCTGTCTTTCTTGGCTGCTTCAGTCAGTTTGTTGGTTTCCGCCTTTAAGTCTTCGAGTTTATGTGAAATTAGACAAATATCATCTGCGAAATCCAGATCTTCTAGAGTCTTATTATCGGTTAGTCCAGAGTATTCCTGTCTTCTCACTCCCAACACACACAGTTTGATGTATATAATCCAGTCCACCACAATGAAAAAAACAAAATTATTTGCATAAGTTAGGTTGTCTTGGTGAATTATTATGTATACTACTGATTGATGTATATGAGTAGTATTAGTAGTAGCTGGTAACGATTTACTTCAACCAATAGTACTTTCTAGCCAGCCAGACAGTTGTTTCACTCATTTAATATCGAACTCATCAACAGAATAGCCACTTATGACTCAATTTAAGGAGTCGAATTAGTTCAAACCTCCAGGATCTCGGCTTGCTACTTGGGCGAACCGGTGATACATGGAGTCAAGTTCGTAATTTGCTCATATTAAGTACAATGTGACACCAGTTTGAACCCGCTAGAGGGCGTTAGATCCCTAGATATTACTGATGCACCTTACTAATAAATGTCAACAGTTATAAAACGTAGGTCCAGGGTCTCACCAAATAGAGTTATCGATTATGTACGCCCTATCATCCATAATTAGTTTCCATAAGTACATGTGTTGATTAGTTTTCATATGAATCCTGAATGATTGAAGAAACCAAAATATTACCTGTTTAGAGCAGAAGTTCATCTCATTCCTTTGCCTTCTGACTGTAAAATATAGGGCTTCAAGGTCGAGTCTTTAATTTTCAGTATTGATGTTGATGGTGTTGTTTTTACACGGTAGCTAACCTCACGCGTAACCTTTCCTCTTTACCGGGTATTACTATTGGTTAGGTGAAGTTCAAGCGTTCATCTGCCAGGAATCGAATACCTGACCACTTGAGGCATAATAAGGTGAGCAACATTGAGGTTAGGCGTCGAGTGCTAGGTAAACAGGGGAAATCAATCGACGAAGTCGCAAGTTACAAAGACTGAGATGGTTAGGACATGTGTTACGTATGCCAAGCCATCGCCTCCCTCGACGAGCAATGTTAGCGGATATAGGGTCAGGCTGGAAAAAAGCTAGCGGCGGTCAAACAAAAACTTGGCACCAGTCAATGAAATCCACAACAGTTGGTCTAAGCCACGTAGGAAGGTGTAGACTTCCAGGCTGGGGTCCTCGGGACGGTAAAACTCTATGGTTGGAAACAATTGGTGACATGGCTCAAAATCGTTCTCAGTGGCTGGTGCAGATGCATCCACTCCTTGTGACTTATGATCTTCAATGAAACTGTTTTGTTTTTCTTTATTACTCCTTTGTCTCACACCTCTGCTCACTGTTTCTATTATGCTTTTCATGTACTTTCTTCTGTTGCTTCGCGTGCTACACGGAGTGTGGCGACTTGAACTTCCGCACATTTGTGCAAAGTTCTATGTCGAAAACAGACAGACAGACAGACAGACTTGAGGCATGGTCGGTAAGCATCCCAGCACTGAATTTTTAACACTCTGGAGCAACGGTTGACATTCAAAACTAATTACAAGCGAATACATATGCTTTTCACAGTCGAATAGTATTAATAGTAGTGGAAGACCCTAAATTCTCGTTTCGCGTGCATCAGATTCCAGTATTTCCCACTAATAAATGAATATAAATATTAAAGAGTTGCTTGTCGATTAGTCAGTTATTTAAGCTTCAAAGAATTTATCATCAATCCTGCAATAGGTAGTGAATCACGCATGTCCGAATATCCCACTATGATAATGCTCTCCTAGATGACACACTTTCTTCTAGGTTGTAAACATGCCTTGTTGACCAGTGTGAATAAGCAAGCAATGCTGGTCAGACACGACTTCCTGCTGACTGTTTCCAACAAACGAACATCAATTATATATTAGTTTAATTAATCATCGGATGTGATGGTGTTCTCCCCGCCAGTTCAACTGTGGCAATCAACAAATGTAATATAGCATGTCTATTTGTTTTCGTCATAGAACTTTGCACATATGTGCGACAGTTTAAGTCGCCACACTCCACTCCTTGTAGCACACAACGCAAAACAAGCAAGTAGAAGAAATGCACAATAGAGACAGTAAACAGAGGTGTGAGACAAAGAAGTAGTAATAACGAAGAACATAAGTCACAAGGAGTGGATGCATCTGCGCCAGGCATTGAGAACAATTTTGAGCCGTGTCACCAATAGTTTCCAACCATTGGTTTTTACCGTCCCGAGGACCCCAACTAGTCAGGAAGTCTACACCTTCCTACGTGGCTTAAACTAACTGTCGTAGATTTCAGTGACTGGTGAGGCCATGTTTTGGTTTGACCGCGGCTAGCTCTTTTCCAGTCTGACCCCATGTCAGCTAACATTGCCCATTGTCGAGGAAGGCGATGACTAGACATACGTAACACATATCCCAAACTTCTCAGTCGATGTCACTTCACAGCCTCGTCGATTGATTTCCCCTCCTTACCTAGCACTCGACAGAGGCCTAACCTCAATATTGCTCATTCTATTATATCACTTCACACTATATGTGCGTCTGTAGCACAATGGTTAGGACTCTCGCCGACCATGCACATAGTCCGGGGTTCGATCCCCTGCCGACGCACACCTGATATCTATGGTCGGCCTGCAAAATTAGGCTTACCGATATCACATGCTGAAAATTTCATACCTGTACCAAAAAATACGGTTTGGAATGAAGCTGTTATCAAAAATCCAAAAAAATTTAAATATAACATGGATATATATATTATTTATTTATTATTATTGTTTGTTTTTATTTCTGATAAAAACTGTGTCATTTAGCATTGAATAAGTAGTATATTCCTGCATCAATATCTTTCAACAGCTTAAAAATGTATGACAAAATGTTCAGTTGCTGGCTTTTTCCATTAATTTTAAAGACTTTATTTAGAATAATATTTACTAGCAGGTCGATATTGTCTAGTGTAAATTGATACGTGGCAGATACGAAAAGGCCTGGTTAGCTAGCTAGCTGTCTTTGATCATAGGTATCTGCGTTCCATCTTCAATGTGTTTTAGGTGGTATAATAAGGTGAGAAATATTAAGGTATTAATGAAAACAAAACACGTAGATCAGCGAAGAGTCTCTTTTCAGCGAATTCATTTTCTTAGCTGTACAATCGCAAATATATATACATGTGTTATTTTGTATGTATGTGTACATTATGTTTGTCAAACAAAATCTACAATTCGTTATGGTTATTTTAACTAATCAGGTGAAGATTGGTAATTGGAGTTACCTAATATAAAATCAGTCAAGAAAATTAGGTGTTAATGAAATTAGGGTAGTAACAAAGGTGGTGAGTTGTCACAATCAGTTGTTAAAAGAAGTTATGTAATAATATGAATAGTTTGATGAGTGAGTTTTACTCAAGATACACAAGGAACAAAGTAGAGAACACGGAATTACGTAAGAGTTCTAAATGAATACAAGAATTATAAGCAATTAAAGAACAGGCAAAGAAACAAAATTAAGTCATCAAAATCAAAAAGTTGTTACCATGACAGTAGAAGTGGTTGAGTAATTCTCTTTTGTATGCACAGCTCTGGTTTTTCTATGTGAATGGCCATAGCTTCAGCAATACAAAGAAGACGAATTTGTATTGCCTTTGGTAGGTTATTCTTGACTCTGTAGATTACTTTGAAGCAGGTGTTTGTTCAAATGGAGTGATCCTGTGTATCGCTGAAGCTCTGGCCATTCACATAGAAAAACCGGAGCTGTGCATACAAATGAAGATTACTCAACCACTTCTACTCTCATGGTAACAATGTTTTGATTTGTTTCGGGTTTTGTTTTTATTTTATCTTGATGACTTAATTTTGTTTGTTTGCCTGTTCTTTAATTGCTTATAATTCCTGTATTCACTTAGATCTCTTACATAATTTCGTATTATCTACTTTGTTTCTATGTGCATCCTGAGTAAAACTCACTCATCAAACTATTCATATTATTATTATGTAACTTCTTTTAACAACTGATTGTGACAACTCATCACCTTTGTTACTACCCTAACTTCATCAACACCTAATTACAAATCTTCACCTGATTAGTTAAAATAACCATAACGAATTGTAGATTTTGTTTGACAAACATAATGTACACATACATACAAAATAACACATGTATATATATTTGCGATTGTACAGCTAAGAAAATGAATTCGCTGAAAAGAGACTCTTCGCTGATCTACGTGTTTTGTTTTCATTAATGCCTGGATAGGGATTATCCATGAATTGAAATATTAAGGTTACGCGTCAGTCAAGTGCTAGGTAAGGAGGGGAAACCAGTCGACAAAGTTGTGAAGCAGCTACATCGTTTGAGTGAGATAGTTGGGATATGTGTTACCCATGCCCAGCCTCCCATCACCATCCTCGACGAGAAATGTTAGCTGACATAGGATTGATTAGGATGGAAGAAAGATAGAGCCAGTGGTGGTCAAACTAAAACATAGCTTCATCAGTCAATGAAATCCACAACAGCAAGTTTAAGCCAGCCAGCCACATACGGAGGTGTAGACTTCCTGAGTGACTGATTGGAGTCCACGGAATGGTAAGAACCAATGACGACTGGAAATAATTGGCGATATGGCTGACTGAAAATCGTTCTCACTGACGGCTGGTACAGATACATTCACGCTTTATGATTTATAATATCCAATAAAATTATATTTTTCTTCCATGTTACTCTTCTTTTTGCCTCACATTTTTGTTGGTTATTTCTCAATTTTGAATTCCTCTTTACCCTCTTCTCTTGATTTGTGTGTTACACATGGAGGAGGTAGAGTGGCAACTCGAACTGCCGCACATATGTGCAAAGTTCTATGTTGAAACCAGTCAGTTAGGTAGTTAATTAGTCAGTCAGTCAATCGGTGTGAATTGAATTAATCCCGTGCGTGAATTGGAGCTTTTATAGAAATTTCTAAATTCCAGTTCATGTCAGTATTATATATTATAAACAGTATAATTTTTATGATTAATTGTTATCATGTCCAGTATACATAGTATTATTATTATTATTACTATTGTCGTCATCATAAATGACATACACAATAGACTTTGGATATTGGTAAACTAAAGCCTCTATACACTTGAAATAATTAATCGATAATAAGGCTAAGTAACACTTTGTAGTACATTTTTAATATAACTTGATTCATGAAGTTTTATAGTGTGGCTATAACCACACTTCTGTGTGTGTGTGTGTGTAGGCACTCGCGCGCGCATGTCCCTTTCTGTATTAACCTCATAGTTAGTAATTATTACTGTGGCTATGGTGACAATATTAGTAGTTAGATCATGGAACTTAGTTATTAACAATTACCAACTTATAATGTTCTCGTAATTACGATTTCAATGTTAACCTGTTTTGTTATTATTGAAAGTGATTATGTATTTATTGTTTTATCTTTCTTTGTAAACTCATCAAGGTTTATCAAGTGTGTTGGTTTGCAGGGATTTGGTTTGTTACAGAGGAGACCATTGGAAAAAACTAGGCAGTGCTGATGGACAACTGCTTTGTCCTAGTTTGGGACGCTTCATCATCAGTACCCACTCACTGGTGTTCGATTCCAGGACCCTGAGGTTTAGGACGAGCTTGTAGACCATTCAGTTAGCGGCCAGCTCATGAATTCCAACCCACCAAGCAACCGACTAGGCGATGACTTTGGTTGGTGATTGCGCCACATTTATTGCGAACTGGTGGGCTGATCATTGGCTGAATGGTCTACAGGTTCGCCTTGTCACTGGAAGGTCCTGTGTGTTCAAACCCCGGTGGGTGTGTAGCGATAAAGAGTGCCAAACTAGGACAAAATAGCTGTCCACAGTAGTACTACCTGGTTTTCCAGTGGTGTCTCCTCTGTAATAAATCAAGTCCTTGTGAACTCCAACTCGTGAAATACCAAGAATTGTATGCTTCATTCTTTTATATACAGTCAGTTCGCTCAAGTAGCTGAACAGAATTCAGATGATTTGAACTGATTCAACTCTCTGATCTGAATTCAACTCTGGTAGACGGCTGATGAGCTCAGTGTCAAAAGGAGCAAGTGGAACATAAGGCTTCAACAGTACATCTTCACTTTGTCCTGCTCCCTACGGTCGTCTTCAGCTGGCCCCACGATTGCCTATACGCTCTCATCCTCTTCTCACCAAACGATCTCCTCCATGTCACCCTCACACCCATGCCCAGCTTATTGTGCACCCAAAGGCATGACGTGTGGTGTTACGCGATAATTTCCTCAGCTTGTATCCTCAGTCTAGATCCAGCAAAGTCAGCTATTGGTAAAAGTCTGAAACAGGCTGTTAGAAATGCTTTTCGTGACGTGTTCAACAAGCTTTTGACCTACATAGAAAAAGTGACTGACTTAACAATGGTGTTGAAAATCTCAATTTTGTTCTTAATACTGAGTCCAGAAGATTTTCAAACTGATTTCAGATTTTCACACATTTATTCCCCTTAATGAATTTGAATAAAGCAAGAACTACAGTCAGCTGCTTACAGGCCAAAGATATTATTAAATATATCTACAAATACAATTTTAATATACTTACACAGAGTTCATTTTAAACAAAAATCAACCGATATATATATATATATATATATATATATATATATATAATATTAAACACTACTGCGAACAATAATGATCATACACAATGGAAGCTTTTCAGCATTAGGCATTCAGATGAAAAAGAGATGGAAGTATCCAGTTACCAGGAATGCCAAAGAAAGACTTGTAACCGCTTCTTTTTTTGGACACATAAATTAGGTTTCAGGCGCTTGATGGAGATTGCTTCAACAAACTTAAGGAGAATTGAACTCTTTTGCTTATTGATAATTTTGAACGATCTTGCGACGTCCACCTCATCACCTGTATCAAGGAGATGCCTGGTGATGGCACTGTTTAAAGCACTTGTTCCCTTTAGACATAAGCTTTTTGATACAAGCACCTTAAAGCTGATTTATGCGTCCAGAAAGAAGCGGTTATCAGTCTTTCTTTGCCCATCCTGGTGGTAACTGGATATTTTCATCTCTCTTTCATCTGAATGCATAATGCTGAAAAGTTTCCATTGTGTATGATCATTATTGTTCGCAGTAGTGTTTAATATTATATATATATATATATATATATTGCGGTATGAATATGATGATCGGTTGATTTTTGTTTAAAATGAACTCTGTGTAAGTATATTAAAATTGTATTTGTAGATATATTTAATAATGTCTTTGGCCTGTAAGCAGCTGATGAGAAGGCAACGAAATAAGCAATGATAGTACCACTTTATTCTGCAAAAACCACTGTAGTTTTTGATTTCAGAGTGATGAAGGCGGCGTTTCTTGCCTTTCCGATTCTGACTGTCTTTTTAATGTCTTCATTCGTTCTGCCTGTAGTGTAGTTAAAGGCCATATATTTTCTAAATAACCGAAGGAAGTTACACCTCTTCTCCGAGTTTTACTCCTGTTGATGTTGTCGGTTGATTATCTTCATCACATCGGTCTTCTCTCTCCCTCATATCTAATATATATATGTATCCTTGATAGTTGTCTGTCTGTAATTGAACTTGTTTTTCATGCCTTTCTTTTTCCAGGTTGTACAACCAAATGGATTTTGCCTTTCACTGCCGGTGGTTTTCTGTATATCGCTTTAGTTTCTCTCTTACCTGATATTTTAAAAGAATTATCATTCAAGTAAGATTATTCAATTATACTTTATTTCATATCTAATACAATAACTTATTCATTAATTGATTTTGTTTGTTTGTCTATTGTTTCTTTAGTCCTTTTTATTGATCCGTTACGTTCCGAATGAAACATTGACCTTTGAGCTCTAAAGTCTCAGTATAATAATAGTGATGGTGTGTTTTATCTTGTTTACAAGATGGCATTCCTTGCTAGCCTATCGCTCCTACCTTCTCTCTTTACCCCTGACCTTCTGTTGGCTAGTAAGCTAAATGAAATTTAGGAGTCTATCGGCTTGAGAATCGAACCTGGACTATTTGTCATGGCTGGTGCGCATGCTATCATTCCAACCATCTACCTACGTTCACTTTAGGCCTATGTTTAATTTCATTTGGTGTTAAAGTTTCCCATTAGTTAATAAGGAATACCTTCTTCATCACGTTCTAGATCTATTGTTTTTTCCAGTTATGAAATGTTATGTATCTATTCACGTATACTTCTTGGATCTTTATTCGTGTCGATTCTTGTCGAGTCATCGTGTTGAATCATGTCTGGTCGTGGCAAAGGTGGTAAGCGATTGGGAAAAGGAAAAGCAAAGAGGCATCGTAAGATTCTCCGGGGAATCTCCAAGCCAGCTATCCAACGTCTTGCTCGTCGTGGTGGTGTGAAGCGTATCTCCGGTTTGGTCTACAAAGAGACTCGTGATGTTCTCAGGGTGTTCTTGGAGAATGTGATCCGTGACGCTGTGATGTACACAGAGCATTCGAAGAGGAAGACTGTGACAGTTATGGATGTTGTGTGCGCATTGAAACGCCAAGGTTGTACTTTGTACGGTTTTGGTGGCTAATTTCCCCAGTATGATTGGCTCAAAATCGTTCTCAGAGGCGCAGATGCATCCACTCCTTGTAACTTATGATCTCCAATGAAACTGTTTTGTTTTTCTTTATTACTCCTTTGTCTCACACCTCTGCTCACTGTTTCTATTATGCTTTTCTTGTACTTTCTTCTCTTGCTTTGTGTGCTACAAGGAGTGGAGTGTGGCGACTTGAACTTCCGCACATTTGTGCAAAGTTCTATGTCGAAAACAGACAGACAGACAGTATGATTGGTGTGTGGGTGGATGTTTTGTGACCAGTGAGTGGTCCGCACGACATTAATGTCACTCTTTTAACTGTTATACCCTGACTTATAATGAATATATATTATTGTAAAGTCTAAAAAAAAGAGTTATCGAAAGGCGAATTCTCTGTTCATTAATTCATATCTAGACATTTTTGCACACCAGTTGACTGACTGATATACAGGTATGTGCAGATAGTCGTGCTTCTTATGTTGCTTTCAGCATAACTATACTGATTACTTACAACTTATTGGGTCTATCTAGCGTTTATCATAATCATCTCTGTCCATGGAATTCCTCCACTATTCAACTAAGTTATTTTACTTGCCCGAACGACATCCCTCGCCCGCCCCACTTAAAAAATGGAGACCGTTGAATGACATCACACGCCTCCAGTTCTAACCTCAACTAAGTCCCGAATGAGAAACAACGAGTTGCACCTGGATCCGAGGTTGGTGTGAAGGAGATCCTGTGAGGAGGAGGAGGACGGGTGGAAGATGCTTATGGGTGATTGTGGAGCCTGCTAAAGAAAACTACAGAGAAAATGATGAAATGGAGATGTTCTCTTGCAGCTCAGTGTTCCACTTGGAACCCAAGGGAATAATGTTAGTAGTAGTATTATTAATGACTGATTGACCGGTTTCAACATAGAACTTTGCAAATATGCGCAGCAATTCAAGTTGCCACCATACCCTCCTCCATGTAACACACAAAGCACGAGAAGAGGGTAAAGAGGAATTCAAAATTGAGAAATAACCAACAGACGTTTGAATGAGGGAAAAAGAATAGTAATATGGGAAAAAAAAGAAAGAGTTTCATTGGATATGAAAAATTACAAAGAGTAAGTGCATCTGCACCAGCTGTCAATGAGAACGACTTTAAGCCATACCACAAATTGTCTCCAGCCGTCATTGGTTCTTACCATATCGTGGGCTCCAATCAGTCACCCAGGAAGTCTACACCTCCCTATGTTGCTGGTTGGCTGTCTTAAACTAACTGTTGTGGATCTCACTAACTGATGAAACTATGTTCTAGTTTGACCACCACTGGCTCTCTCTTTTCCAACCTGATCAGTCCTATGTGAGCTAACATTTCTCACCGAGGAAGGCGATGGGTAACACATGCCCCAACCATCTCACTCAAACGATGCAGCTGCTTCACAACGTTGTCGATTGATTTCCCCTCCTTACCTAGCATTTGACCGACGCGTAATCTTAACATTGCTCACCTTATTATATCACTTAACCCACACGGGAGACAGAACGAAGATACCTATGATCAAAGACAGGTAGCCAACCAGGCCTTCTCATGTCTTCCACTTTTGATGACCATGTCTTACTACGATAGAGGAGTACGAAGCAAACTGCTGCTGTACAGTAAACACGTCCTATGGTCGAGAGCCAACCGGATACCAAGTCTAATGAGCCGGAAATGGCATAAGTCGACAGGCAAATGCCAAGTGCTAAGATCTCCCTCAGCTATCAATCCACTGGCACTGGTTGATGCAACTTCATAAATAAGTGAAGTGGTCAACATGCTTTAACACTTCTACCGTGCTAATACGCTCTCTGTTTCAGGTATCCCAAAAGTAGTATTGTAACAACAGAAGACAAGGGCCGGCAACAGATCGCTTTATTACGGAAATCAACACGTATTTATATACATTTCTTGTACATTATTATAGCTTATTCAAGTACACAAACGCAGTCTTCTGATTGCTTGTTTCTCGGAAGTTAAGCAGACAAGCGCATGCTTCTGATTGGTTGTTTGGGGTAACATCGAAAAGTAGAGCCATCTATCTGCGAATCATATTTGCCCACGTTAAGTTCGCTGTGATTGGTTGTTGAATCAGCCTTGTTCATATTTTCTCACGGTTAGTATTAATGACCTAGACATTGACGTAGATTAATGTCTACCAATCGGCTAGCAGCCTGCTCTCAACACGGTATTAATATGAATTGTCATTATCTGGATCACCTTTAATTTACTGTATGGCTGACAATTTTCTTATTTATTTATTTATCTATTCAATTTTAGAGAATCACTAATTCACTTAGGTCTCATTTTTATTGGATTAATTTCAATGGCAATTGTTTCATATGCAATGGATTAATTACCTACTGTGAATGAATACCAATCATATTAGTTGGTTCAAAAGAAAGTATTAATAATCATAATAATAGTAATCATATTTGATGAATAAGCCATATATCCAGTCCTTACTCACTTTCAATGTTGAAGTGGGCCTCTTCAAGAGAAACCCGTGATAATTACTCACCCCCCCCACACACACACAGCCATCAAAGACAACCACACACACATACAAATTAAAAGATAGAAAGAGAAGACAAGAGGTTGATTTTTTAAATTTATTTTGATTCCCAGCGTTTGTTGGTTTGCTTTTTATTTCTCTTTTAATAAAAATCGTCACTAATTTCTCAGTCAGTTTTAAAATAATTCTATATTCAATGTGGTTTTATTTACTTATGAGATTATTGTCAACGAGAGAGAAGACTGAAAGAAGTTTCACTCCCCCTTTACTCAACCTCCCCCCCCCCGTCACCCATGGCTATCACCTCTATATTTTATTTAATATTTGCCATTTATGCTGCATTTCTTCTCTAGAGTGTGAGTTTCCCCATCGTTGGGTTTTTTACTGAAACAATCTTTGCCCTCTCCGCTGCGGCTGCCGCTTTTACCCTTCCATTTTGCCATCAAGTGATAACGGTTGTGTTACCATATGGGCATTGTTTTTTCTTCATAGTGTCATTTTTATTACACAGCTTATTCTTGGCTTCTTTGTGTGCGTGCGTGCGTCTGTGCGTGGGTGTGTTTCTTTTTTACAGCTGATTTCTACTTCCTATGACAACTAGTCACACAGGCACACACACACACAGTACCAGTCCATTCTGTTTTGTATTTGTTCAACCTGAAAAAAGATTTCAATGTGTGTATAGTTGTAATAATGGTGACAATGATGATGATGCTAGACTCTCTTTTATGTATTTTTTAAAAGATGACAATCAGTGAATAAGAAATAACTTTTGCTACATGAAATATTATTATTATTAATGATAATAATAAAGTCATTCACAATTTTAAACCAATCATTATTTTGGCTTACAACAGCTTAATATTGTTTGTTCTTTCACATTATAATGAATATTTTTCTGCAACATAGTACATGGTGTTTCAGTGTTGTTTCTTTTAATCGTTTGTATTCATTTGTGTTCTGATTGGATTATAGGCTGGTTTATTATTATTATTGTTCCCTTGGGTTCCTAGTGGAAAATAGGGCTTCAACTGCACGTCTTTACTTGCCACTTCTGTCTTCCTTCTGCTGTACTTTTCACCTGCATCCACCCATGTTAGTCCATACTGTTTCAACTCCTCTCTCTTCACACGATCTCCTCCATGTCACCCTTGCACTGACGTCCCACTCGAGGGCCTGACGCGCGATGTCATTAACCGGCCTCCTCAACAAGTGTCCAATCCATTTCCACTTTCTCCTGCATATTTGTTAGTTGGCGATTGGTTCTTGTTTTGTTTGTTCCCAGCCAGAGTTTCTTGTTGTTGGTGATTCTTTCCGGCCTGGTCCGGCCATCTGATCTTCAGTATAGATCCAGCGAAGACAGTTGTTGGTTGATGAAGGTGAGCATGCAACAGGCTGTTGGAAATATTATTTGTTACCCGCTCACCAAGTTTCTGATCCGTATAGAGAACTAACTGACTTAACGTTGTTTGTATTGAAAATCCGACCGAATTTTGTTGTTGATGGTGAGTGACGAAGATTTCCAGATTGGTTGTTTCAGGTTGATAAATGTGTTTCTCGCTCGCCTTCCCGATTCTCTATCTGATTGACATCCTCGTCCATTCCGACTTTTTGTAGTTGAGACAATGCTCCCTAGATAAGTGAAGTGAATGAAGTAACCTCTTTCAAATCCCTCCCGTTAATGGTGATTGGCGCTGGATGTTGCTGCTGTTATTGTTGTTGTTGGTTGGTTGGTTGGTTACTTTTATAACCTCCGTCTTGTCTATGTTCACCGGGAGTCCTGTCTTCGCCGGCTGCTTCTTCGACCAGTTTGTCGGTCGGTTTTCGCTTGTAATTCTTCGATTTTGTGTGACATCAAACATAAATCATCCACGCGCGAAATCCAGGTCTTCTAAGTTCATAGGCTGGTTTAGAGCTTCACAGATTTGGAGGTTTCAATAGCGCTTTGGGCGCTTTTAGTAGGAAGGGGGGGTGAGGGGGGGCGTTGTTAACCCTACACCCAATCTTCCTTCCTTCTTTCCTTGAGTTTACTACCAGCTAGGCGAAGTTTAAGAGCCCGTGTTTGTCGGGAATCTAATCTTGGACCACGTGTGTGAGTGAATGGCTAGCGGGAATTAGACTCCTGTATCATGAACGCATGGTTCCAGTGTCTTGTGAATATTATTACTATTTGTCTTCATGCATTTATTCCCCTTGATGAATTTGAATAGAGTAAGAACAATAGTGGTTTGTGCAGAATAATATGGTACCATCATTTATTTCGTTGGTTTCTCATCAGCTACCACTTAAAGCCTGAATAAATTATGAGGTGTACGTACAGACCTTCATTAACAGATGTCTTCGCTCAATACTACTCAAGATCAGATGGCTGGCCAGAAAAGATCAGCAACAGGGATCTCTGGCAGTGAGCGAACTAACCAGGAACCGATTGTAAAACAAACAAGCAGGAAGAAATGGAGATGGATTGGCCATACTGTGAGAAAACCATCAAGTGACATCACTAGACAAGCCATCACTCGAGTGGAACGCGAAATGGAAGCGGCGAGTTGGTCGTCAGTGCAAGGGTGACTTGGAGGAGGTCATGTGCAGAGGAGATGAAAGTATGTGGGCAGACATGGAACCAGATGAAAACTTCAGCAGAGAACCGAACGCAATGGAGACGTAATCGGCTGAAGCCCTATGTTCCTCTAGGAATCAAAGGATATAATAATAATACGTACAGAAAAGTTTTAACATACTTGCAAATTTTACATGTTGTCAGTTGACAGAAAGTTCCACAATTAGTGAACAGTGCTCAGAAAATTGAGCTTATAAAGTTTTTTTTACACAGGTAGTTCAAGTTTAAACAAAATAAATGTATGCATACAATGGTAAAAGAGTTAGGTAATAAAGACGATAGATGCGTTAGATGCAGACTGACCAATAAATTGGGTAACAATGCACTGAGTTCAACTCAGATCACAGAAACAAGAGACAAGCAAAATTACAGATTATAAAAGGGGAGATGAGGTTAAAGACAAGGATTACGTAATCAGATGAGAGAATAAAGACGTGCAGTTACCTGGGTGGGCAAGGAAAGACTAATAGCTGCTTCTTTCTGAACACATAAATCTGGTTTCATGCGTTTGATAGAAATTGCTTCGGCAAACTTGAGGAGAATGGAGCTCCTTTGTCTATTGATGATTTTTAAAAGATTTCTCGATTTCCACCTGATGACCCGTGTCGAGGAGATGTCTGGTAACAGCGCTACTATAAGAGTTTGTTCCCTTGAGACGTAGGCTTTTTTGGCTTATGTTCAGAAAATCGGAGATGTGCGTTTCTTTCTGTTCTTTCAATGTAACTGCTCCCGCAGATACACGTAAATTTGTGTACACAGTTGGAGTTGTTAACATGAGAAGGGTATCTATCGACTTTTGACTGCACCAAAGAGCTGATGAGAAGCCGACGAAATAATAAATGATGATACCATATTATTCTGCACAAACCACTATTGTTCTTACTATTTAACTATGGTATTATGAGTGGAATATAAGAACTTGAAAGCAAATTTCCATTGTATTGGACTGCATGACTGGCCATAAGTTTTCATTCCTTCCTCGTCACATGGTCTTCTCTATGGCCTCCTCGTGCGTTCGCCTAAGTCGTCATTGCTTCCTATTCGCATTCCATTCGAGGCCGCCGAACTGACATATGATGTTACTTGATGAATGTCCCTTCTGTATGTGATCAGGCAGTTTATTGCTGTAATTAATCAGACTCTTTGAACTGCTCACAACACGCTGATGACTCCAACACCTGAACGAGAGTTACGGTCACTCAGTGTTAAGGTTATTTCAGTCCAACTACTTATACCAATCAGTAGTATATGCCATCAGGCAAATATACTTTTTTTTCTTTCTTGCTCACTGTTTATGGTAATAAGCTTGTCTTACATTGGGATCTGAATATTTTGGGTTTTCAAAGGGAAATCGGCAAAGTTAAACTTTAAGCACCACGAACTACCAATCAGCAAATGAACTCGAATGCACCAATCACCTGAAGGAGGCATTTTTGTGTATGGAATACTCATATATTTACGAAAGAAATGCATAAAAAGTGTAGAAAAGTGTTACAGAGGATACCTTCCTCTCACATGTGATAAAAGTAGCTCCCAGTTTTAGGTCGGAGTATCAACATAGTAAAATTCCATTCTGGGTAGCATTTATTTTGATATATTCTCATAGTGTAATACAGCAATATTTCCTGAACAATATATTGTGCTCGAAACGTTGTCATCAGTAAATATTACTGTATAACACCGTGAGACTTTATCAAAATAAATGCTACTTACGATGAAATTATACTCTACCACAGTGCACAAGTTCTATTCTTATATCAACCGAGTAATTTAACCACATTCGATGCATGTAATTATTTAGGTCTTCTAACTAACCCTAATCTTTCCTGAACCTAACCCTAACGTGAAAATATCCCTTAACTAACTGTAATCTAACTCGAACCAACCCTAATGTAGTCTTTATTAGGTTAACTTAACTCCAACTTGTCCCTGGTTTAAACCGTAACTTAATCTTTCCCAAACATAATCTGAAACTTGCCTGATATCCCATTTAATAGCATAACACTTCGATGAGCATATTTTATTGATGATGACAACATTATTTGCCAGGTTTCGCTAACTCGCTTAGTGAGCGTTTCAAGGTTATTGATGTGGTCGCACTACATTGGTAGTTGTTAGTGGTGCCGGGAAATCATAGTGAATTTTCATCTTGATCACAAGCTGACGTCAGTTAGAGAACCAATGGAAAATCAGAGAGTACTGGACAGTCAGCTGTTTCGTCAGCCTGGTTTAGGACTGTTCAGAAGTAGTCACCCACTACTGGGGTTCGAACTCAAGACCTTCTGGTTGCAAGACAAACTTGCTGACCACTCAGCCTCTGAGGATCTGATCCAATGGCCTATGAATTTCAACTTCTACTAATGTGTAACTTACGGTTGACTTCCAGTCAATATCATCGGTGAGTCATTGTCCTCATTTCCGACCAGATGGACCCCACTGGTTACGACTATTCACTAGTTAGTTATGAATCTTTTTTGTTGCGGGAGGAATTTTCTACAGTGACAAGATGAAACTGATGACCTGTGGACTTTATCCACTGTGAACAGAAGTCAGTTTTAACTGAGACCATCGAATTGTTCACTGTTAGCTTCAATTACATGTTTCTCGTTAAAACGTGACTGTATTGATGAATTGAAAATGTATTTTTTCTAATGCCTGCATTGTTTAATAATTGTAACGTAAAAACAAATCAGTTAACTGACGAGTTAAGGAAATGAACAGGCTAACATGAACGATTTTAGATTATATAGCATAAAGAGAAATCTATTTGAACTCAGTAACCTGGAACAGGCCAGGCTAAGAGCCACACTTATTGTTTAAGCACCAATGATGCTAATGCTAGTAGAGCGGAAGTCGAATGTGAGACCTGCCGGCTGAAAATCAATGACTTCATTATAGTGTCACCGTTATTTGGAAAAAACACTTCATTAAGAATGAATTCAAAATTATTGGTCTCAAGTTTGATCACGGATCGTTGTCAGTTAGAGAACTACCATTTGACTACCGGGCTATATTTTCATCTTCCTCTGGGGCTCTTCAGCAGTACTCAGCCTTCACCGCCAAACTATGGGTCGAACCCCGGACCTCCAAGTTAGAAGGTGAATTCGATGAATATTGAGCCACTGGGACGGAATCTAATGGTCTATCACTTCTAAGAAGAAGTTCTAGCCAGAAATCTGTTATGATTTGAACTCACTCAGTAGACTGTAGATGAGCTTTGCCGCAAACGAGTGAAACGGTTTTCGTCTCAGTTATAATAATAATAATGATTTACTTTATTCCAAAAACAGTACTTGTGATACAGAATGGAAGTTTCAGC